TTTGATGTGTGTTGACTTTCAATACAAAGGCATTCATTTACAACACACATTGAAAACGGCTCAGGGTGGGCTTTCTGGTAGTGACAATGGCAGAACTTGTCCATGCAATGTGTGCTGCTGGCACTGGTGGAGGTGACAGCACTGGAAGGCTGTTGGATGACTGGGGCTGAGCGTTGTGACAGGAAGGGCCCGAACAAGGACCTTCATGGCAGGATCACCATTTATTATTTTTAATGATAGCTGCAGCTTTACATTTCTTCATTTCTTACAGGTATTTATGCATCACTTTACATATTGTACATACACATCAGTCCCTGCCGTCGAGGAACTTACAATCTAAGGGCCTTTATGTGGTCTCCGGCAGGATGGTGTTGAAATCCTCCTGTCGGGCAGGGTGCGGTAATCATCCCGTCGGGTGAGCCGGCTCCTGTCTGCGCGGGCTGGTACATGAGGGATCTTCCAGGCAAGCGATTGCGCAGATTAAGTTGAGGGCCTCCTCAGCGCGCCTCTGCCGCTCAGTCACGTGAGGGAGGTGGGTGGGCCAGGGATGTAATTGACAGCCGGCTCGAGCTGTCAACTACAAATGATAAAGCATAACGTCGCGTGCCAGGCTGGGCACGCGTGCCGGGGGTTGCCGACCCCTGCTATACAGCAAATAAATATCAATATTAAAAGTTCTTGGACTCCCAGCCTGTTTGATTGAAGTTGTCTTTAGTCTTCATTTATGGGATGAAGTGACCATGTTATATTCAAGCAGTGATAGATATGGCACAGATAGGATGATAAGGGGGTGGAGGTGGGAAGGGTGCATGTAATGATAGACAGTGCCTTATCACGGCTTATTGGCCAAAGACAAAGTAATAGATCATAAATACAGACACTACATTGCCAAAAGTATTGGGACACCCCTCCAAATCATTGTATCCAGGTGTTCCAATCACCTCCATGGCCACATGTGTATGTACCCTACGGACTAAGACTGGTATGCCATTAAAGTTCATGTGCGTGTAGAGGCGTCCCAATACTTTTGGCAATATAGTGTACGTGCTATTACCAGGAATCCTTCCTTTGATCCCAAATCCTTCTCTATCTTCTCCACAACTTTCAAATTTGTAGGCTCCATGTATACATGTGTATAAATAAATGTATATTACATTATGAAAAGTGTTACCTGCATATTGGGGAAAAAAACAAACCTGTAAATGACCCTTTAGGAGGAAAAATAAAGTCATTCTAGGCCTGTAGGTCTCAGAATCCAACCAGAAGGTGCCTCCTCTTAGGCCCCATTCACACCTTGCTGTTTTGTGGCTCCTCCCCCAAATCATGAAAAAAAACACCCAATAAAAGGAATCCCATTGTCTTCAATGGCTTCTGTTCACACCTGACCATTGTGCCTCTTGTTACCAGTCAAAAAAAGTATATGAGCTTCTTATGGAGCACAATCACACATTTTGGGCTCATAGACTTTGTTAGAAGCACCAGAAAAAAAAAAAAAATTTAGGCATTCCCATTTATTACAGGTATTTATATAGCGCTGATAATTAAGGCAGCACTTTACATAGTCGCACATTCACATTAGTTCAATTTAAATGTCTATGGTGCTGAAAATGCTCTTGTACAAGTTGCTCATACAAACGTGCCAAAAAATGCCTTTAAATCGCCAAGCGCCAAGCTATTGTGGCGCTATGGAGCCTTTTGAAGCATCTGGTTGAAAATGAAACTGTTACTGTAAACAAGTCATGAGCAGGCTTCATCAGACCTTCCACGCATTCCAATAAATGCCGGTGCTCTATCAAAGTATGAGACTAAGTTAGAATGTGTGACCAGTCATGTGGTCACACATTTTAACGTAATCCGGCCCAGTTTTTTCGACGGTGGAATGTGTGACCGCTCGTTAGGTCAAACATTACAATGTTTTGCAGATCAGCATTGCAGATGGTATGTGCAGGAGAACCGATCTGCCCTGGAATAGCTGATCGGTCCTGAAATGTCACTTCTATCCGACTTTGTGACTGTGATCTCACATTCCACCGCACTCCCAATGTCTGATAGAAGTCACATTTCAGGACCGATCAGCTGTTCCAGGGCAGATCGGTTCTCCGGCACATATTTTCTGCGATGCCAACCTGCCCTGGAACAGCTGACAAAGCGTTGGGATGCTTCACCTATTGGCGGGTCACACATTCCACCGCTGTAAAACTGGGCGGGATTACGTTACAATGTGTGACCACGTGACCGGTCACACGTTTCTAACGTAGTCACAAACTTTGATAGAACACCGGAGCTTGATGAATCTTGCTCTCAGCACGTTTAAAGTGACAGCTACAGGATCTGTGTGTAATACACCCCAACCGCACCGGTCATCCTGCATTTCCAGAACTTGCCAGACTTGCTGCCGGTGCGACTTTAAATTGGAGCTGTGAGTGACAGCGGCTTCTACATGTCATTTTATTGCAGTACGTTTCCTTAAGAGGTTAACTTTTTTAACCTGTGAAACATGATGGCTGCAGGTGGCTCAACTTTCTTTTTCTCAGTATTGGTATTTGTTTTTTTTTGTGTGCAGTATCCCTTTTGTCCACGGACGCTGACCCTTATTATAAATGCATAAAATATTGATGGTGTATCTGTTTAAAAAGATGGAGGGTGTGGGAAGGATGTGGCTTCTTTCTATGTTACATTTTGGTACTAAAGCCCTAGACGTAGCCCAGCATAGGACCAAGGTGCCCTCTGCCATGGACTCCAGGAGCCATCTTGGGAGAGCCTGTGTTTAATAGGACATAGAATTCACTTTTTTTTGCAGCTATCCTAGACACATAAAAGCTGTATGCTGGTTAGCCATAAGATTATGACCACCTAGCTAATATAGAGTAGGTCCTCCCTCTCCTGACCCGTCCAGGCATGGACTCCACTAGACCTCTGAAGGTGTGCTGTGGTGTCTGGTACCAAGCCGTCAGTAGAAGATCCTTTAAGTCCTGTAAGTTGCAAGGCGGGGCCTCCTTTGCTCCCCATGTGCATCTGTGAGCCTTGGCTGCCCATGACCCTGTCACCGGTTCCCCAATTTTCCTTCTTTGGACCATTTATGGTAGCGCCTGACCACTGCAGACTGGAAACATACCAAAAGAGTGGGTCCTATCACTGGAACAGTAAAACAGTAGAAAGGTATCATGGCACACTCACAAGCCCGCATGTAAAACAACTTGTCCCACCACTAAGGTTAATAACAGAGGTTTGGATACACGTCTTCTGCAGAAAATGTGAAAGCCGCACAGCCGCGCCAAGGCACCTCTTATAGTGCGGTCCTAACTCTAAACTATGAGAGTCTCCATCTAGGAGCACATGGGGGCAGAAGATTTCAAATTGGGTGCAGGTTTGTCAGGAGGAAGCCCAGCCTCCTTAAAGGCACAGGGACACACAAATGGCAGCTGAGAACCCCCATGCGTCACTGCACCAAATCGGTCAAGCAAAACAAATGACAAACGCACTCAGCAATTCGTCACCGGCTATACAGTAAGGTGCACACGAAATGGGCTTTAAACAGTAAAACAGTAGAAAGGCATCATGACACACTCACAAGCCCGCATGTAAAACAATTGTCTCACCACTAAGGTTAATAACAGAGGTTTGGATACACTGTTTAAAGCCTATTTCGTATGCACCTTACTGTATAGCCGGTGACGAATTGCTGAGTGCGTTTGTCATTTGTTTTGCTATCACTGGAACAGTCACTCACTGATGAGTAGATACCCCCCATTTTCTGTTCTTGGGTAGATATCTGCCTGTCCTTAGATGATTAGCTTAATGGGCCTCATTTTTGGCCCAGTCCAGCTAAGTATCCTAAACTTGGTGCCATTTAACTAAGTTTATTAGCCCCTTTTGGGCAGAAGGTACCAGGCCTCCCTGCTGACCAGTGTCTAGTACTATGTTGTTCAGAATCACAGAGGCAAGGCTTTAACGGGCTTGTTTTCTGCTGTAGGCTGACATTTCTATAGAACGGGGTGCTGAAATAAAATTCAAGGAGGTCCAGTGAGTAAAATTTTAATCGAGGTCCGAATCACGGTCCAGACAGAACGGTCACTCAGACCGCCCAGAGAAGCAGGGGACCCCAAAAACCACTGTGGGTGGATGTAGGCAGGGGGCAGCACAATCGCAGGCTAGTATAAGTGATCTGGGTGGCTGTACAGCCGCCCAGATTACTTGTAGTTGACAAGCTGGCCCTGTCTGCCTGACATCATTGGTTGCCCGGATGCCAGTGGTCCTAGCAACCAATGACTGAAGTGGAGGGGAGAGGCCTGCACTGAGTTATAGCTGCCAGTGGATGCACCTGCCCTGGAGGCCGGTGTCAGCCAGCCATAACCCAGTGCAGGTCAGCCATCACAGGCTAGACTGCTATCCGCCATTTAGTGATCCCTGCTATAGAACGGCTAGGCATGTTCTACAAATCCCATCATGCCTTTGTGTCCGGGAGTCATAACTGTAGCTGTCAGAGTCCTGCAATGCTTCATGGGATTTGTAGTTTCACCATACCTGGATGGCCAAGGTTGCCTACCCCTGCTATAGATCGATTGTCATTTTCTTCCAAACAACACATCTAAAACACAAAAAGCAGAGACATGTAAATAGCTTTTCACTTTACACATTTATTACTGAGCCTTGTGTTTTGCCTGCAGTTTGCCACCGCTGTGCCGTGATAATGGCTCGCTTACAACACATGAATACATTAAACTTCAGGTCCTTTCAGGTCCCTTTATAAAGACTTTAATTGCCTTCCTGCACTTTGAATAAACATACAAATAAATTATATTAGTGGGAAGAATATCAAATAGTTTTACTCCAATACATTATATCACAATAACTAAATACATATATACAAACAAACCGAGCTTTGCATATTAATATAAAATGCACACGTTGTGCCCTCTGGCAGTTCTCTGATCAGAGAATGTTAACTCCTTGTGACCCACATTGTGACCTCATTAGTCCTTCCATTCCATCAGAACGGCTTTTCCCACAGGGCATTCCGTTCATGCCGCAGATAGCGTGGCAGATGAGTAAGGAGGCGAGGTGATTCAGCTGGCAGAGTTCCAGTGCCATTGTTCATCTTCCCAGATACTGGTGCGTCGCTCTGAGGGAATCTGTTACCGAAAGCAAGTCCTTTCATTATGGTGGATGAGTCTTCGTCTAAAGAGAAGTCTCTTTTCAATGAAACTGGCGACCATGATTGCGTGGTCTAATCACCAGGCCGGGCAGGAAAAATCTTCGAGGGTGTTGAGTTGTTTCCTCAAGCGTTGTCTGCGTCCTGCAGGGAAAAAAAATTTCCACATCCGGTTGAGGTTTCGGCTAGACATTTGCACAAACTTTCTTCACCAGACCAATTTTATACGTTTCAGTCTTCTTAGGCATCGCTAATTTACTACCCGACATATCTGTATGCATGTCACACCTCTTCCTGTAATCCAATCGTTCAAAAACTGAGCTCAGAATATTTTCTCCTCTGACTTTTCCATTGTTCCATTCCATCCCTCCTCATTGGTCTAACTCTACACAGGCTATCCCCCCTTCAGTCTACCACGAATGCTGTTGCCAGACTCATCTACCTTACCAACTGTTCAGTGTCTGAAACCCCCCTCTGCCAATCCCTCCACTGGCTTCCATCACCCACCCCTCTCTGCCAATCTCTCCACTGGCTTCCATCCCCCACCCCTCACCTCTCTGCCAATCTCTCCACTGGCTTTCATCACCCACCCCTCTCTGCCAATCTCTCCACTAGCTTTCATCACTCACCCCTCTCTGCCAATCTCTCCACTGGCTTCCAATCTCCAAACTTCCATCAGCTCTTCCCCAAGCTACATCACCAACCTCATTTTAAAATGTCACCCAAACCGTCATCTCTGCTCCTCTCAAGACCTCCTGCTCTCTAGCTTCCTTCATCACGTCCTCCCATGCTCACCTCCAGGACTTTTCTAGAGTCTCTCCCATCTTCTGGAACTCTCTACCACAATCTGTCCAGCTATCTCGTACTCTGTCCGTCTTTAGGCGATCCTTGAAAACTCTAGGGAAGCCTATCCCACCTCTACCAACTGAACTTGAACTATCTTCATTAACTTATCCACCCACAGCCATTACCTTTTGTATTACGTGCCCCTATCTTTTAGGTTTTAAAGCTCTCATGAGCAGGGTCCTCCTAACCTCATGCCTTGAATTGGAGTGTAACTCTATGGTCTTCCTTTATATTGTAAACAGTTGACACCATATAAATCATGAATAATAATATTAAAAATAATTAACACCAGCACTCTACCTGCAGTTGCTTTGGGTCCCCCGAGAGGACCCTGGTGATGAATTCTTCCCAGCAATTTTAGAGAGTAAATCCTTCACTTTACACCACTGTGTTGATTCTGCCTGTTGAGAACAAGAGAGAACACCATGATTAGCATGGGGAATAACAAGCAGAGAGAAAGATAAATACACTGTTGGCTTGGTGAGCTCCATCCCAAAGGCCAATGATGGACCATTATATCTGTATGTTTCCAGCTGCAATATTGGATTTTACCAGCAAGTGGCAGGAAAAATCCATCATTTATGGAAGTAGATGAGGGGAAACTGTCTGTGCTACCTGCCACAAGCACCTCCATTTGTGCTTTATACTGACTGGTTGATGAATGTTCAGGTCTGGACGGCGTATATGTGTCAATCTAATACTTTTCCTTTGGCCTGGGTTTAACGAACGGGCCTGATTGTACACTTGTTCAGTGTGACTGGTTTATAATGAAGGGTAGCTCCAGGCAAGCTACATCCCCTTCAGCTGTTAAGGAACAACAAGTTTCTCCACATTGTCACCATTCATCTTTACAAATGCATCAGTATCGCTCATTTGCATCTCTTTAATAATGGCCTCCGGGACTTATTGTTGGTCTTGTTTTCTGCGCGAATATAAAACACAAAGCCCGGCTTGTGGTATTGTTTGCTGCATGCAACATCAAACATACATGGCTTTGGGGAGAATTGGGTTCCTTGGGTCTGTGTGCTGGTATTTAAAAAAGTCAATACCCCAAAAATCGATATTGCGGATATAGGTGAAATCCAGAGGACTGGGTTTTTTTTTATTATATATATCTAGGAGACCCCAGCCATATGGTCACCCTGCCATACATCCTGACTGTATACAATGCAGCACTGAGGACACCGAATATGAAAATAGCTTATACATATCCCTAACACATATAAACTCCATGCAGATAGTGTCCCAGGTGGGATTCAATCCCCTGGACCCAAAGCTGCAAGCCGAGGGAAACCCTTGTAATAGCAGCTGCATAAGCCTGAAGATCTTATCATTAGAGTTCCCAAGGGATATTTTAAACCATGAAGTAGTATTGTTCCAGCATCTAATAAACTCCCAGTTTTGGGTAGACCGATCTGTTAATTATTAAACTTTTTCTCAAATGACCTGTTCTCCTCCTAAAGTGAAGCTCCAGGCAAAACATCTTTTCTGAGTAGGGAAGGGTTAGAAGAACCACTGTCAGGATCATATTGCTGTCTTACTTGGAAGATTTCCCCTTATTTCCTGGCCTGAAGAAATAGCAGGAAGGAAATCTCCCCAAAATGAGAGGCGCTTTAAGCCACAAGGCAAATCTTCAACCTTGTGGACACTACTTTATCACCTGCCCTGGTATTGATGCCGGCCTACCTTGAGCTCTGAGTATTATTTTATGTCATGGCATTCTTGATCATTTCATTTATGGGCTTCACCATGAGCCGCTTCTACTCACTTTGTAGCTCTGGTTTGTCCTCCGTCTTTCATTTTCCTGCAGGTTTGGTACGCTCACATAGTGTGGGTCCATTTTGACGGTTCCTTTCAGGTTATTTTCTGTAAATGACAAAAGAGGTCTTAGAATTTCAATCAACTCATTAGGTGCATCCTGCCAGCTTATTCTCTTTAACTTCCAGCTATACAGGTTTCCTGAATAGGCTCATTTATAGTAGCTGGCTACAGGTGTCCGTATACATATTCAGGACTAATGAATGCAGAGTTCATGCAACAGGACAATAAAGTACTGCTAGAATTAGTCAACAAGTCAATCACTAAGGACCGTTCACACCAGCAGCGAGCACCACCGCACCCCACAGGTGTGCACAGGGCCGGTGCTGCCACTAGGCAAATTAAGCTGCCGCCTAGGGCGCACTGATGCCTAGGGCACAGCCATGGCCGGACCCTTTCGTTGCCACCGACTTATATAATACTTTGTGGCAGCGGGCGGTGTTATGGGAGTCCTTTGGTATTGGGGGTTGTTATGGGTGTTTTATGGGATTCCTGAGGTATGGGGTGTGTTATGGCAGTCCTGAGGTAATGAGCATTGTGTCAGCAGGGGTTATTTTAGCAGGGGGGGTTTGGGCGCCTGTTTCGTGGTTATTTCAGCCAATCCGTGATGGGGTGGGCGGGGTGCAAAATAGTCTAGCACGGGCCCTGGGTGTGCGCTGTGAAGGAAGAGGTGCAACATTACACTGTAACCTTTTTTTTTGGTCAGACTTTGGTACGAAGAAGCATTTCATTCAGTTCTATTCACTCCAGCACATTGCAGTAAAAGCATGCAATGCGGCTTAATGCACCCAACACTGCAGTTAAAAAAAAAACCTAATAGGAAGCAAGGCAAACTGCCTTGCCTATGAGTTGAGACCCTGCTGGGCAAGAGTGCAATGTACCTGGCATGAACTGGCCTTAAGTGGGACAAACTGGCAGCGCACTGAAAAAATTGAATTACAGCACGCTCAGAAACAACAGCGGTCTAAGGTCATCACGTGTGTAGAGGATGTGAGGTCACCGAGGGGCATAGCATTGCTGCAGCAGAGAAGGAGAGAGGCAGGAGGGAGTGATGTGGCAGCCGGCTGGCTCGGAGGATCAAGTGAGTATAACTGTTATTTTTTTACCCTAGGCAAAAATGAGCACTTAACCCTTGCAGTGCAGTAGTAGCTCCACTGTAGGGGTTAATAACATTTCAACCCGAAGTTCTTCTTTAAGATAAGCACTGAACATTTTTGTGCGGGTCAAAGCTCTAATTTATAAGGCATACTAATGTATCCGGACATCTTTGGAATATTCCTGGTGGAGATATGCAGTCATTTATGATCCATGCCCTTTATTGTAATACTCGTAATGTCGTGTCTGTGGTTGCCCGTACAAAATGTAATGATCAGTATGTGGATTGTACAGGTAGACTTCTTAATATGACAACTGCTAAACAACTCTGTGCGGGTTAAAACTCTAATTTAAAAAAAATGTATCCAGAAATCCTTGGAATGCTCATGGAGCAGACGTCACGTGCAATCACTTATGATCCATGCCCCTTATTGTGATACTTGTAATGTCGTCTCTGTGATTGCATGTACGAAATGTAATGTTCAGTATGTGGATTGTACAGGTAGACCATGTAAGATCAGAATTGCATTGAACATTTTTGTGCGGGTCAAAGCTCTGATGTAAAAGGCATACTAATGTATCCAGACATCTCTGAAATAGTCATGGCGGACATACGCAGCCATTTATGTTCCATTGTATAGAGAAGGTGGGTGGTTCCTGGTGTGAGAGACACATTTACGACCTCTCCTACTTCAGGAAGCATTTAGGTTTTTGAAATTATAGAGTAGAATGCCACAAGGTCCCAATTATAGATGGGACATAGATTTACGATGAACATTATATTGCTTGCAACGTTGTCCTTTCTTTCTTGCTTGCTTTTTCCTTATTCTACATAATTTTTCATGTGTAGGGTATAACATATCTGGTTTCTATCGGAAAGACTCCTCCGCCCACCTTGTCAGCATTCTCTATCACAGTGTAAGTTATTTCTCTTACCTGGTTGTCTGGCCAAACTAAGCAGCACCCCGGCATGGGAGCTGGACCTCTTCCTGTAGTGTTGTTGTTGCCAGGTTGTCCCATGGGGAAGAGGGTTGTCTGTCATGTCTTGCTCCAAGTCTTTAGAGTCCTGGGAGCTACCACACACACAGGCGTCCAGAAACAGCACCTATACAGGGAAGAGGCCACAAATCAGTACTCAATTCCATTGTGACTGACGAACATCAATCAGAGGTCGGGCATGTCAAAGTTCACTTGAAAAACGGCTATTTTAAGTTATTAAGGCTTTTTTGTGGCGACAGTAATCTACAACAAGCCATTAAGTGACATCTCCTAGCCCTGAGGTCTAGGTGGAGGGGTGAAGGGCAAGTTGTTTGCATACATATCATTACCTCCCTGCAGGCCACTGGAGGACAGGCTAAAGCATACAGCTCAGGGAAAAAAGACCATCAGTTTGTTGCAGTCAGGTATCCCTGTACGACGATACGTACCTGACTCTGCACTTTCTTCTCCAGTGTTTTCTTCTGATGTAGAAGGTTCTGATTCCTTTTCTGCAGTTCTGCAATTTGCTCCAGCATGTGACAAAGACTTTCCAGATACCGGAGACCATCACCCGGAAGGTTGAGGTTATCCTGGTCCTAATATGGATAAGAAACAATTTAAATATATGTGGTTTCTACCTGAATGGGTCTAATGTGCTTACTGTATGGTTCACTAGTATTTTGCAGTTATATGCAAGTCTAGGTTAACACTTATGCTTCATGGCACTGAGGTCCCCGGTTCAAATCCAGGTTCCACTGGGACATTATACAGATAGTGTGTCTGTGGAGCCTGGATACTGTGCACATAAGTGTCCTAGCAGAACCTGGGTACTATGCAGACAGAGTCCCAGAGGAACCTGGATACTATGCAGACAGTGTCCCAGAGGAACCTGGATACTATGCAGACAGTCTCCCAGAGGAACCGGAATACTATGCAGACAGCGTCCCAGAGGAACCTGAATACTATGCAGACACTGTCCCAGAGGAACCTGGATACTATGCACATAATGTCCCAGCGGAACCTGGATACTATGCAGACAATGTCCCAGAGGAACCGGAATACTATGCAGACAGAGTCCCAGAGGAACCTGGATACTATGCAGACACTGTCCCAGAGGAACCTGGATACTATGCACATAATGTCCCAGCGGAACCTGGATACTATGCAGACAGTGTCCCAGAGGAACCGGAATACTATGCAGACAGCGTCCCAGAGGAACCTGAATACTATGCAGACACTGTCCCAGAGGAACCTGGATACTATGCACATAATGTCCCAGCGGAACCTGGATACTATGCAGACAGCGTCCCAGAGGAACCGGAATACTATGCAGACAGTGTCCCAGAGGAACCGGAATACTATGCAGACAGCGTCCCAGAGGAACCTGAATACTATGCAGACACTGTCCCAGAGGAACCTGGATACTATGCAGACAGCGTCCCAGAGGAACTGGAATACTATGCAGACAGAGTCCCAGAGGAACTGGAATACTATGCAGACAGAGTCCCAGAGGAACTGGAATACTATGCAGACAGAGTCCCAGAGGAACCTGGATACTATGCAGACAGTGTCCCAGCAGAACTAGGATACTATGCCGATAGTGTCCCAGTGGAACCTGGATACTATGCAGACAGTGTCCCAGCAGAACCTGGAACTATGCAGACAGAGTCCCAGAGGAACCTGGATACTATGCAGACAGTGTCCCAGCAGAACTAGGATACTATGCCGATAGTGTGCCAGCGGAACCTGGAACTATGCAGACAGTGTCCCAGCAGAACCTGGATACTATGCCGATAGTGTCCCAGCAGAACCTGGATGCTATGCCGATAGTGTCCCAGCAGAACCTGGATACTATGCCGATAGATATGCATATGCCCTATGCACATAGTGTCCTGGTCAAACCTCCGACTCTCCAAAGAAATGCTGGTAGGTTAATCGTCTACTGTCTAAATTGGTCCAAATATGTGTGTGTTTGTGTGCATGTGAGATAGGGGAGATAGGGACCATAGATTGTAAGCTCCTTGAGGTGAGGATGTAAGTGTATGCCTTGTGTAAACTGATGGTGCCATATAAATACCTGTAAGAAAGAAAAGTCGGCATGACTCACATGTATAATGTATCTGTTAACCTGACATACAGATTGTGAGTACAGATTTCACCTGCAGCACAACACAGATAGCAGTGGAGTTGCACAGATGCAGTAGCTGCATCATCATGTGTGTGTGTTTTAGGGGTTGAAGGGTAGAGGACCAAGACAGACCGTAAACTTCCATTAAATTGGAAATCTCCTTTAGCATAAAAATACTTTTCTGTGACGTAGTATCTTCAGGGCTGCATTTCCCACAAGGCCAACCAAGGCCTGGCCTCGGGGCAGCAGGGAGTAGAGGGACAGCAGGGAGTAGAGGGGCAGCAGGGAGTAGAGGGGCAGCAGGGAGTAGAGGGGCAGCAGGGGTGTGGAATTCCTATCTCCTGATCCCCGGGACATGCAGTTCTGGGTGCCGGGCGGGTAGTTGTTTAGTACAGTTAGCCCTGCTGTGGGCCAGCAGAGCTCAATGTACAGCGGGGAAGATGCCGCTTGTTTTGTACAAGTGATCTCAGCGATGTCGCCGAGATCACTGGCATGCAGCCTGCATACAGGGGGGCGCATTGAGGAACCTGGCCTTGGGGCAGCAGAAAGAGTAAATCCAGCCCTGAGCATCTTGTGTGTTATATAAACGTGTCACTCGTTTTACATACCTCATCTTCTAGTCTTTGGCGAACCGGGCTCCTCGCTTCATAGCCAGCAGATATCCCTCTGCGCTGCTCTTTTAGTGAGCCTGCATACTGCCTGCTACATCTTGCTGCCCTGTTTTGGATGGCCTCCCGGCTACTGCTCCTCTGCCTCCTGCTTCGGAGGATCGCCTGTTCCAGTACATGGGGCACACATGAAATGTTCTTTTCAGGCTGTTTATTCAGACAATGTTCCACTCTGTTTACATCCCTAATTGTGTGCATGTTAAAGCTCCCAGAGTCATCTGAAGACGAGTGTGCCGCTGCGGCCTTCGCTGGAGAATGTTGAAAATGATCTGGTTTTCCATAGGTGGGGCTTTTCAGGTCCCGAGACTCCTCAGGGGAGGAGCTTTCCAAACTCTCAGGATCCTCAGGGGTGGAGCTCTCTACGCTTTCAAATTCATCTGGATTATAGCTGCTCTCAGATCCAAATGGGGAAGGTGGGGGCAGCTCCACACCCGAATCTTCTGATTCCGATTTCTCAAAACGTGCACGTATCACGGTGTAGCCATCATTTCCCTTATGATTGGATGAGGATGTCCTATAGAGAGAATCTCGGGAGATGCCACAACTGGACGAAGGATCCATGAGACGCCGATAGACAGCAGTGCTTCCCAGCAGTACACAACCCTCTGATTGTTCTGGAATTGTGGAAGAAAAACAGTGTGAGAGATAACCTTGTACCATGTACACAGTGACATAAATCAGAACATTTGTCAGGCAGTGTCACATCAGATCGGAATGTGTTCTTTATCAAACAACCGTAACATTGTGAGCTTTGGCATCGCACCACCAGTTGGTTTTTTTTCAGCACTAGTTTTTTTTTCTGTTCTTGCACATCACTAAGCAGTAACAAAATACAAAATACGCTCTTGCTTTTGCAACCAATGAAAGATTAATGCGTCTGTTGGCGCTTTCTAATTGCGTCCTGCTGTGCTTTGCGTATCTGACCAGTGATTTCCGAATGTAATTATTTATCAAATAAATAAAATAATTCACAAATTCATTAGACATGTAAGCTGCAGAAAAATTTGGTTCGGTTATTTTCGGGTCCGAAATTCAATTTGGTTTGGGTTTCAGATTCGGACGAAATCCGAATTTTCGTTAGTTTTGGATGAGTTCATGAATATTTGCTGCGAATACCACAGAAAACCATATACAGATATTAATACTAAAGCTGAGGATCCCAGACCCCAATGGCATTCAGGATCCAAATTTCCGAATACCATTCGGGAGCTCCAGAAAGCAATACGGGTCTGGGAGTCATATTAAAGCTGAGGCTTCCAGACCCCAATGGCATTCGGGAGCTCCTGAATGCAATTAGAAAATTCAAGATTCAGAGCCATTCGGATGCAATAAACGGGAAAACACATATGATTGGCCAGAAAAGTCACATGTCTGATTTAATTTAGTTTTTCAGACGCATTTGGATGCATTGGGATTCGGAAATTCGTATCTGTCCGAAATTCGGAAACACGTACGAATTTTAAAAAGGAGCGAAACAAATCGCACGCGTCTAAAAGCCGTTACTGAGTAGAAATCGTCACAAAGCCAAGTCTGCTGACCGTTCCCTACTGGATCCCTGCAATGAGGAACAGCTTGGAACCCTCGTTGGTGGCAAACATAGGACTACAAGGAGAGAACAGTCTTCTACAATGCAACCATTGTGTACAGTATACAACAGGGGTAGACAATCTTAGCACTTCAACTGTGCTGAGACTACAAATTCCATAATGGGAGTCATGCATGTGGCTGTCAGAGTCTTGCAATGCCTCATGGGACTCGTAGTTCCACAACAGCCCGAGTGTTGAGGTTGCCTACCCGTGGTAGAGAACTACAGTGCTCAAGTGTCTTGTGTTGAGTGAACACAATCATCAATGACACATTGCTCTTCATCACTAGACAGTGAGGATTATATATTTAGAGATGACTGTATACACGATGTCACAGCACTGCGGGAATCCCGAGCCCTATAAATACTTTATTAATCAGTGGAGAAGAATTACAAATGTATCCAACATAACAATGTCATTACTGATACATTCTGTGCATAGCAAGTAGCGTGCTGCAGATATTTGAAGGAGGAGGAGGAAGACATTCTATTTCTGCTTTCTCCGATACTCATAGATATTCTACTCATAGCACGTTCTACTCATAGCACGTTCTACTCATAGCACGTTCTACTCATAGCACGTTCTACTCATAGCACGTTCTACTCATAGCACGTTCTACTCATAGCACGTTCGGATTCCTAGCAAAAAAAAGTTACACCGCACTATCTCCCCTTATCATTACACCCCTTTCCCGACTGCTCCATGGCAGCACATTGTGTGCTGCCATTGAGCAGCAGGGAAAGGAAAATTGCGGTAAGTATGGTAATACAATTTTCCTGTTTTCACCAAACCCTACAATTCCAAATAATTAATAATTATTTAGAATTGTAGGGTTTGGTGAAAGGGGTTTAATGATAAGGGGAGATAGCACGGTGTAACGTTTTTTGCTATTGTTTGCCCAGGGGTGTTCTTTCACTCCTTGGTTTTTCACTGCAGCTGTCGCTATTTTTGTAATTTTGAAGGGTGGAAAAGCCAACAGCGCGAATATTTTTGTTTATTATGTTCGGATTCCTAGCCCCCTTCCCAGCTGTTGGGTGCGTTACCGATAAACACAGGTTTCCAAAAAAAATATAAAGACAAGAAAAAAA